TCTCGGAGACGCTGGGGCTGGTGTTCTCCGTAAGTACCAGTTCCCCCCTGGCAACCCGGGGGCAACGCGTGTTGGGATGCGGGGATGGACGAGGTGCAGCACCCGACGCTTTGGGTGATGAACAGGGTTTTGGTTGAGTTCGGGGGTTTTGCATCCTTGTGCCAAGCGATGTGACCAAGGGGGCGTAAGTGGTGCCCGGTTTAAAGACCGAAGCCGAGCGGATGCCCCGTCTGATGCAGAAGAGGGGGGTACGGGGGGGCTTCGTTAAACAAGAAGCCGTCGCGTAGAGCCAACCAGCCAAGAGGCAGCTTTGCTGCCTTGTGCTGCGCTGCTTCTCGGGCAGGGACACCGCCTGAGAGCCTGAAGTCAACATTTCTGCCTCCAGAGCCCGATTTGCTGATTGTCATCAACGAATGTTGGCAGCGAAACTATTGCCTTGGATGAGGAGGGGGCCAGAGCTCACCATTAGTGTTTCCTTCAGTATTATTATCTTTTACCTCTTTATTTCTTGATTTCAAACCTTCGGAAGACACTTTCTGCGGAGAGAATGTCCGTTTGGGGGCTGTTGGCTTTGTCTGCAGAAAGCACCGGGTAGCTCCTCCAATAACAGACTTGCCATTTTTTTTTTTTCCCTTTAAGGCAAAAGAGAAAAGGGGATGGACCCTGAACAGCGCTGGTTACCTGCTCGGGCCACGTAAGTCAAGCGCTCCTCTGCCTTATTCCAAAGTGCCGCTCCCCGTAGCGTGCCGCTCGCTGTCCTGCTGGGGACAGCGGGTCTGGCCGCACCTGCCGGGCGGGAGAAAGGCTCTTGGCTCGCTGCGTGGCTGCTCAGGGGTTGGCGAGATGCCGGCGAGATGCCGTTCAAGGATTGAGTTGTCTTGGACACTCACTGTTCTCTTCCAACGCGGGGTCGTGCTTTACGCTGGGAAGCACCTCTTGTGCTTTCCGAACCGAGTTTTCATGAAACAGAAACTCCCGGCCCTGGGCCAAGTGCTACAAAATCTTAGTGCTTTAGGTGTCAAGGGAAGAATGACAAAATGGGACACTTTGGCACTTCTCAATATATTTCAGCTTTCACTTTTAAATCTCTCGGAAAACGGCTTCACCACCTGCCTGTATTATGGTGTGGCTCCCCCCCCCCCCCCCCCCCCCCCC